CTGAGTTGGTTTTGAGAATAAATCTGCTCATATTCGTTATACGCAAGTAATTTGCCTGGACGATTAGACAGGCGGAGCTGTACGCTTTAGCACCGTCCTCACTTAAAAGGAAATACTTTCCAGTCATCATTTCTCCAACAAAAAAGTCCCTTCTCACAAATCGTTTTGACATCCTTGTTAAGAGCTGTCTCGCTCTACCAAAGGCGTGTGAAAAACCTCACCTACATTTTCACGAACGTTACGATAATAAAAAACAAATGACGAATGAAATACGCACGTGATCTATAGCGCGTTTAGATTAAGGCTTTGACCGGGATGTTCTTTTGTTAAATCTTATGTGGTACCGCCTGATTCGACTTCTAATGGTTAAGTGAAGTGTTTTCTTCGCGGTAAGGTCTGGATTCGTAAATATTATGAAGACGAGCTTCGGCTTCAAAGGGTTAACCAGCTGATTTTCGTAATGGTGAGGTGTAGTGTTTTCTTCGCGGTAAGGACTGAATTCATAAATAATATTCAGACGATCTTCGGCTTCAAAGGGTTAATTTATCTTAGGCATGTCTGTATGCCCGCTTCAAAACTAATATCAACGCCATCTGTCCGTGTACCAGCAAGTTACGTGAAATAAGTTTTTAAAGCAAAATGCTATATACATTTCTCTGCGCTCTGGTTATTAATGGGATAATCGAAATAACATTTCGTAAGAAAATACGTGTTATGAAGATCCTTGTTTAAATTTATTTAATTCTCTGTCAGTTTTGCTGTCATATCTTTGTTCTCAATTACACCTTTTCGTTCAGGGGAAGAACCAAGCTTTCGCTCACGTGACACTACTAAAATTATAATTTATATATTTTAATATATAATCAAGATAAAAAATATATATCGTAATCTTCGAGTTTATTCTGGTCATAATTTCTTAATGAATATCATTCGCGTAATCCATTGACGATAGTTGGTGCAGTGTTGTAAAATACGAAACGAAATATTCTTCTACCCATAAAAAGTCTGTTTTCAAACGAATTGTGTGTGTCTTTTTTAAATCGTCTAACTAGGTGACGTTACAAAGCAGTGGCGTTTGAAATATATGGAGCTACTCGGGGCCAAACCTTGCGTTTCGTCTACGTCACTAGCTTGCTGGTATGAATAAACGCTCAAAACGGGATATTGGGATATGGACTGGAGAAGGCTGTCATCTGAGCTGTATCTCCATGTAGTATGAAGAAGTTTACCGACGTTTCGGAGAGGTGCCAGCTGCCTCGATCATCAGGACAATCGTTAATCTGATTCAGGTTATGGGTGTTATAAACATGTTAAGGAATCTGTTTTGTCAAGACGGGAGAATTTCGTGACTGGGTGAGCGACTATTGGCTTTTCAAGTAGGATGGCGTTTTTGAATGTGCTTTACTGAAACTTCGTGCTACTACAAACGGCTGTCCAAACAAACTGCTGGAGGGCGTAGAGGGGGTGTGTGAGGCATTGATGCTCGCTACAGGTGGTGAAATAGCGTTGCGAGACGTGATGCTGAGTGTCCCCCACTCCCTTCCCCCCCAGGGGAGGGGGGAGCCTGACGCGAAGATGAAAAAAAAATATGGTACCTTGTTTTCTCTATCTTAGACCCATGCAGGCCTGCTGCATTCTAAAGATAGCAGGACGTTCCGCGGTTTAAGTACAGCACCGCAGAAATTTCATGCGTCATTCCCCAAGCAGCAGCCGGCCGCTTGTCTGCCGAGTGATACATGAAACGTGGAATATATTTAGGCAAGATTTTTGGCGGAGAAAATGCCGTCTTGTTTTACTAAAACGGTGAAAATTAAAGGCTTGAAAGCTTTCTTAATCGTCTTTGAGAGGTTCTGGGCTAAATAACTTTGGTCTGAACATGGACTGTAGTAACAGCAGAATGTTTCTGAGGCACCTGACATCTTCCTTCGTCATAATTCTCAATTCGTACATCAGAAAGTCATAGTAACATTTGAGAATCGCGTATTTCGCCTCGCCACGTAAAGTGTTGAAGGCGATCGTCCTCGGTGTCTGTTTTACAGCTGGACGCATGCGCGCCCCCAATTTAGCGAATGAAGTTTCCGGTAATTATGTCAGATGCCACTGGTATACAGACGGCACAGTTAGTTCCGCGTTGCACTCCTAGATGTCACGAGTGCAAAGAATAATAAATTAGAGAAATACCGACGTCATGATTTTTAGATTATTTATTTAAATCATTTCGTTTTTTGTTTCAAAATATGGATGTTTCGTGCACAAAACGTGTTTTTATTACTGAAAGTCTGGGACTTCTAGCGAAAGAATTTCTGTGTATGAATTAAGCGGAGAAAATTATAAAACGAGATGATTTTAAAAGGAGAATGGAGGTAAAACTCCACGGATTTTTAGACTGAGCTCCATTGATAGAGCCGCAGGTACTAATTGAATGGTGGGCCCAGATCGTATTCGGTGAAGTCTTCTCGGGCGATCAGCTGTGAGACGGCGAGATTAACATCCTACGTTAAGGGGACTGTCTGCCTCCATCATCAGGAGATAACCAGTTTCCGAAACGTCGGATGACTCCATTATCACATGGCTGTTGGCCCCAGAAGACGTCATTGCATTGAGTCACCGTTAAAGCTTCAAATCTCACACGGCGAGGAAACTGCGATGGGCTGGACATGCAGATATGATCGAGGACATAAGAAATGCGTACAAGAATGTTGTTAGGAACTCCTGTCTGCGTCCAAGTCTTCCGAGTAGTCTTTCTTGAGTTATAAACTTAACAAACCTCCTTTGATATTTTGTTCACATGTAAGGATCTGTGTTTCTATGGTAACTGCCACGCAGAAATGTAATTTAGACTTTATTCTTTGAAAATGTTTCGAAGTTTTATGTTCCGTAAGATGTGTGTGTGGTAACTTCGAATAATTTTCGATTCAGCCAGACAAAGATAAGTCTAATTTTAATTATCTACACGACATTTGTCAGTGACATCATCACAATATGTTGATCGAGAAGTCAATTAAGATTATAATGTATGCGATCTGAGGGTCAGATGCCCCTGGTGACGTAAAACCAGCGGAGCATAAGTTATGTCAGCGGTCTTCTGTTTCAGGGCGAACAGAAAGATTCTGTTTACGGTTCTCTGAATTTCTCGCCGTCTTTAATTGGGTAGTATTTCGTGACGCTGCGATGTATTCATTTGTTTTTAAACTTGAACTAATTAGCGTCGCTTTTCGACGGAACTTAACAAATACATTGATGAAGAGACTTGATTGGATTTAACCAGCGAACAGAGCAAATAAAAACACAAGAGTTTACACAATTCACAGTCCTGTGTTATTATTAAGGTGATTAAATTGGCATGTGAAGTGATTACAGAATTTTTCTCCCGAAAAACTTAAAGGCGACAGGACACTCGTGGGATATTTACATGCGTGTATTGGCAGAACTGTTTGTGAAGATGTCAACTGGGCCAGAATATGGTCCAGTGGCGGACTTCGTGCACACGGCAACGTTCTTCGAATTCCATAGCAACCTGTTCAAGAGAATCTTATATATCAGGGGTTGTCAGCCCTTTTTTCTCAGGCGTACCACCAATTCTAATTTAACAAATTAAATTTACCGCTAACCAAATGCGTTCAGGGAAAATTATTTATGTTAATATTATCTTTTGATTTGTTTTACTTAGTTCGCGTACCATAGGTTGAGAAACGAATGGTGTTTGCATTCCTTTATTTAACGGCAGGGGAGTAGAGTTGGACAGGAGGATGATGAATGTTGTGGATGTTGTGTAAGGACACGAAAGGACGCACAGGAGGTTTGGGGGTGGGTAGAAGAACGAGGTAAAGTGACAGATAAAGGCGATAAGACTGAGTAAGACAGGATGAAGTCGGAGAGAGATCGGAAAGGCAGCTGTACCAACTTCGAGGAATACAAAGCCTGAAAAAATACTAAACAAAAGACGTTCAGCGCCGCGAAGGTGTGTGGGGGGGGAGTGGAGGTAAAGGTTCACGCATTCTTATCCTCGGCACTAGAGGGTGGTGAGCAGGTAGGTTAACGCCCCGGCCGAATTAACCCTGAGAAAAGAAGCCCGATGTTCTCTGGAGACGAGGTTAGGTGAACCCCAGATACTTTCGCTTTCAATGTCGAACACTCGATTCTCTTTTAACTTTACGTAATGAGTTTAACAAATCGACAGAATCTCGTCTTGTAGATCGATACTGAGACACAGAAAACATTTATTGACGAGAAATGGTGAATTAAAAAGATAGGGAGACAGACAGGCGTAGTACCAAATGGAATTAACATGAAAATAGGTAAAGATACAGCAGACCGGAAAATTAATAAAAGAAAAAAACGAACAGAACTTCAGTTAATCTGCAAGAATATACAGAAATTCGCCATTACGAAACTAGTAAGACTGTTTGGAAGGCAGATGAAGTTAAAGATATGTAAAGAAACGCCCTGAAGCTCGTGGTTAGGGCAATTTGACGTGTTCTTACAAGCAGTTTGAGAAAGGAAACGAGATCAGTCAGCGTGGAACCAGTTAGAAATCGAGAATTATGTACGAGACCAGAAAACAGTGCTGACAGCTCTATTTGGTGCGTACACGAAACAAATGCTTTAGCGCGCAAATTATAAGTTGGCATGACAGAGACAGATCACGCGATGTTAAGTTACGAGATTAATTCCACCCACGTGAAAAAAATGCAGTGAGTGGTGTTCGTTTCTTTCGTTTAACAGCGATGAAGTCATCTTCGTTTCTTTGTCGACTGCATCGGATGAAAAATATTCGCTGATATATTGTTCGTAGGGACTAATTCTATGGCATTCTTCTGGATTGTGACGTCGTGTGGACGTGCTTAGCTGGGAATATTTGTTGTTTATTTTACGAAGTCTTACCGAAATTAGTGTTGAAATATTTCATAAAAGTTGATGATGGCGGAGGCTGTGGATGATACATGATGGAAGGTAACACTTGCAGGATCAATTTGTTACATTTCCTTTCCTTTTTGTAGGTCTGGGAATGCAGCGTCAGCTGTGAACAGGTTGGAGGTGTCTCAGAGTGGGATGCCGTGGTGGCGAAGACAGCCAGAACTCGGACCGGGAGTAGCCGAGAGTCGTCACTAAGACCCCTTTAGACTGGAGACGACCGGTGACGTAACCTTACCTCTCAAGGTATTATAAATTATTTCCAGAGGATGTTTTTATTGTTTTATTACTTAATTGTCTTTTCATAAAACCAATAAAAAATATGAAACTGGATTTAATTACAGTTCACATTTTTAAGAGGTTTTAAAGGAAGTGAAAGTTCTTGGACATTCCTAGGATATTAAGATTTTAAAAGATTTTGTATTTTGCACAAAATATGAAAAAGTCCCTAACAGAAACAAGTACTCCATGAGAACCTGAAATCTTATTATATTTCTCGATCAGATAAAAATAATGTAAATTATTAAAGGAAGACCTTGGACCATTGAATCGGTTAATGTTTTAAATCAAATTGTTTCGTGTTAAAACTCGATTACGTTTTTTATTTGTTTTAATTTTGTGTTTTCAATAATAATGTATCGTTTAAGATTCTGTTCTGTATGTGATTATTTTCTTTACTACATATTTAAAGGTAATTTTTGTTTCAGAATATTGGAAATTCAGCTGTTGACAAGAGATTAACATCCGCACTGTTGCCTTCACTGGGGACGGCTTTAACGTAACGTGTTTTCGACAGATATTAATATGGTGTGCTGAATTTCCGTCTCTGAGAGCAGTGCTGAAGGACAGATCGCTGTTATATGAGGTCGCCTCGTTATTTGCTTCGTCCGTAGTAGGATCTGCCATGCGCGTGATAAGTGACCAGTTTCCAATGGAAACCATGCCTGCCTATTTTTCATCTTTTCCGCTTAATTTAACGTAGGCAATGTTGTGCCGGGCCGTGACGCTGAACGCTCACCCCCCCAGCTAGTGCCGAGGCCAAGAATGAGAAGGAGCTATATC